GTGCTATAACGTTACCAAGGGAGGTAACTCCATCGTAAACTTCCAAAGAATTGATCCCTGCCTCAAGCCAACCTACATGTACATAAAAATGTCTCCAATTACAATGTTTAATAAGACTTATTTTACGGTAATTTAGATTAGGGGAAAATGCGTAAAGTAAAGTACGTTGTGATGTTTTGTCATGTTACGTGCAACCTCCACAAAGCGGACCTCTGTAGAGCAGGTACCTCTTTACAACAATATTTTCAATAACCAAAGCAGTACTTCACAATAGATTGTAACTCTCATGACCAAAACCTGTCGCAAAACCAGAATCTTTTGCCCTCAGAGGTTGTTGCTTAGAAGAGGTGTCAACGTTTGCTTTTGTTTGTTTGTTTGACAATGTTTGTTTCATTTTACGCCTTTCCCAACAGTATTTCAGTCATATAGGCGGGTAGTTTCCTAACCATCGTTCCTGGAGAGTTACACCAGTACTAGACTACCTTCCCCCGTTCTAAACTACTAAAGCATCTCCCGGGGATCGAACCCTCGCCAGAGAGGTAACTGGATTAGAAGTCATCGACTCTAACCCCTCGATCACGGAGGCGGTTACATCAACGTATGCGAATATAATTGCATATTTCCGTGTATACCTTGAATGCGTAAATGCAGAAATGTTCTAGTTTATTATTTAAATTCACCATTGCATCGGTTATTTATCAAAATAAACTATTCTAAACTAATGGTTAGTCATGTAGATTACATCAAATTGTTTATGAAATTGTTGAGTACTTACTGAACGCGCATGCGCGAAATGCTACTTCCGTTTCTATGGACAAAGGTGTATTGTTTTGGCAAGGAGAGATCAATCTTAATGGTTTACACTATTGCGCCTTCATATAAAAAAAATTGTAAAGAGTATGAACGCTCATTGCTCATATTTTATAATTCTGTAATAAATTAACTAAAACTGACCTTTGCCTAAATTTATTTCTGCCAGTCGTAAAATAACACCATCGGGAAAGTTTGCCATGTATCTTTTAATTGTCCAAACACAATCATACCATTGCGGTAACTCCTTTGGGTCTGTACTAAAGTCAATGACGCCGCCGGTCTTTAAAAGATACGAGTCACTGCAATCTACAGATAACAAAATCTGAATATAGATTCATCAGAAGAACTGACATTCGGTTTTAAAACAACTATTTAAAATGCATTTATAAAAAAAGATGTTGAAAACGTAATCATTAGTAAGAGTGCTTTTATTTATTAAAGGTCTTTGCTACGAGCAGATTTGCAACGAAATACACTCTGTTGTTATTTTGTTGATTTCTGTGAGACATTGTTGATATATATCCTCTTCCTCTATATTAAAGCAGTACGCCTCCAGATTACTGCTAATGTTCATGAAAATTTTGAAAATGTATTCAACAGTAAAATATTGTTAAGCTGACAGAGAAAATAATATGCACATTTCAAACGGCACTTACAACCAATGTAAATTACAAACAAGAGGGCCACGATGGCCCTGAAGTCGCTCACCTGTATATAGCCCCCCCCCCCCGGAGCGGGGCCAGTTTAAACCCCATGGTTTTTATTTGAACAAACTAAGTAGACACCCATTAGAAGATGTTTCATGCTAGACATCAAAGGTCTAGCTCGTTGGATTTTTTAAAAGAAGTTTTTTAAGTTTTTTCTTAACATATATACATGTATTTAAAAACAATGACACCCCTAAGGCAGGGCCAGTTTTGACCCCGGGGCTTTTATTTGAACAATCTTTGTAGGCACTTACTAGAAGATGTTTCATGCTTAATATCCTCACTCTAGCTATTCAGGTTTTTTCGAAGAAGATTTTTAAGTTTTTGCTATACACATATAAGGAAAATCAATGTCCCCCGGGGCGGGGCCAATTTTGACCCCAGGGCTCTTATTTGAACAAACTTGGTAGACATTCATTAGAACATGTTTCATGCTAAATATCTTAGCTCTAGCTCTTTGGGTTCCTTAGCTTTAATTTATTTGGGTTCTTTAAAAGAAGATTTTAAGTTTTTACTATATGCATATAGGAAAAATCAATGACACCCTGGGGCGGGGCCAATTTTGACCCCAGGGCTTTTATTTGAACAAACTTTGTAGACACCCATTAGAACATGTTTCATGCTAAATATCTTGGCTCTAGCTCTTTGGGTTCTTTAAAAGAAGATTTTTTAAGTTTTTACTATATACATATAGGGAAAATCAATGAACCCCTGGGGCGGGGCCAATTTTGACCCCAGGGCTTTTATTTGAACAAACTTGGTAGACACTCACTAGAAGATGTTTCATGCCAAATATCTAAGCTCTAGCTCTTTGGGTTTTTTAGAAGAAGATATTTAAAGTTTTTTCTTTTGGTTGCCATGGCAACCAGAGTTCTGCATGGAATTAAATTCTTTGAACAATTTTCAAAGGTGATCACCAAAGGAACATTCCTGTGAAGTTTGGATGAAATTGGCTTAGTGGTTTATGAGGAGATGCCATTTAAAGTAAAAGTTTACGGACGACGGACGGGCGACGGACGGACGCCGGACGAAAAGCGATCACAAAAGCTCACCCTGTCACAAAGTGACAGGTGAGCTAAAAGAGGTCAAAATATGCAAAATTAACCCTTACTGCGTTAGTAAAGCAGTAGAAATATGGTGAAAATTACTGAAGAATTGGCCATCAAACGCAAATAACATGGAAATTATTACTTTTATATTTAGTCTTTTTACTTTTCATAAAACCTCAATACATTTTTCTCAAGTTTTATTTTCTTGAAATATTTTTGCTCATCTGGAGGCATGCAGCTTTAACCAAGTGGCTTGAACGTTATAGAACAATTTGTAAAATAATGTTTTAAGAGCGTTAACGCAATTTTGGTTTTATTAAATCTAAATTTTTTTTCTTATCAAAATCAAAAGGACATATAAAGGAAAATAGTTGCTATGGCAACGATTACAAAAATGGCGGAATCAGTACCTGTACGAGGTCTTTCTGTCCATTTTTCATCTGAAAGTATAAAGCATTTTTATAATTAAGAAACTAAGGAAAAGGCCGTTCGGTTAGATCAGTAGGTCAAGCGTTCTCCGGCACTCAGACGTTTGTGTCCAACAAAAAAGAGAAAGAAATCAATTGTGTTCCAATCTTATTTTGAGATATTGATGATTTTAGATATACTCCAAAATATTGGATTTTAATGTCATTAAATTCATGTATATCCTTCAATACAATAAACGCAATTTTCCTATTTTTTAAACCATGGATTCTAGTGTATTTCAATGGTTATTCAATTAAAACTTATGCAATGCAAAATTGTAAAAGCACATGAAGTTTTATGATGATTATTTTATAAAACTATATTCTTGTACGTTGTTACACGATTCTGCAGTCTTACCGCTTGTATAAGTTTATGTGATAAACCGCGTGTGATCAGTTTTTCGGCGTCTCTTAAGCAATTTTCATTTTTTTACATATTTCGTTTAGACTATCACAGCGCAAAGGGGAAATGCAACTTTTTTTTAAAGTTTAAGCCAGTATTATCATATACATAAAACATACTTCTTTCTCATTTATTTATCTTTGATTTATTTTCGTGAATAAAACTTATACTGTAATCCTTATACTTAGTCTAATAAACTATACACGTAAACTTTTTTGTTTATAATTTTTATTCCTTATTTTCTTGATTTTTTTCAGGTCAATTTGTTTAAATATCTCAGTATGCAATATATACATTAATCCGAGTAAAACATCAAAAGAACACAGATGGCAACATACATTCTAAAATATGAACAATACATAGACCTCCCATGTTCCGCTCATTCACAGATCCCGATATTTACCATAAAGGACCACTTTATAAGCTCCCTTGACAAAAGTGACGCCATTGTTTTATATAGTGACAAATACTAAAAAACTACACATGATTTAACCCATTACGCGATATACACGCCTTTTAACGCCTTTTCACCCCCCTTTCTTTTGTTGTCTCAAATGGTGAAAAAATGCCTTATTTAGGCCCCCAACACTGGGTTTTGTTTGAGAAATGTTGTTTAAAGACTGGCCAAGAAAATTTTGGACTGTAACGGGAGACTTTTCAATGTAAACAGCCATTTTTTTGGCAAAAATTCTTTAAGTATGTGAAGAAAAATATTGCTAAAGCACCAATGTCAAAAAATAAAAATATTTTACCAGTAAACATGAAGATTATCGATCTGTGAGAGACTTTATTTAGTCTGAATTAAGCATATGATATAGTGAGGATGACCCTAAAAATGGCGGCCAGGGGCGGTAACTCATGTATTGTAAAAAAAAAATTTATCATAAACATATAAGAAAGAGAAAGTCTTAAACTATCTCATTGTCAAAACAAGACAACATGTTTCATATAATTCTAGAAATAGAAATAACTTACCGGAAACAAATGTATAAGTTGCTCTAAAGCCTATGTGGTTACAGCATGCAAACTTGTCAAGCCCAGCATTAAACACCAGCACTAATGTATTGCCATTCGACATGATTGTTGGACGTTTTCTGTGACCGTAAATAGTAGCACGATTTGGTCCCGATAGATCATCATATACCTGTAAACATTACATTCATAAGTTTTACAAATTATTTATGCTTTTCAGTGATATGGTATGACATAAGTCAAAGCTTATGAACGGGGAAGTCGGTTAAAAATCGTTCATTTTTTCGTTTTAAAGGTGACATTCGTTTTCCTTTTTCAGCGGAACACTCGACGATTATTATAAATCCGAACAGTTGCGATTGTTCCCCGTATAAGTAAATTCTATCCGAATGAGTTCTTTAATAACAGACGACGTGATCTGATATGAACAGTTAATATGAATACGAGAAAATGATAACATAAAATACAAAAGTTTGAATTCATATGTTTTCTGCAGTGACGTCATGCTGTACAAACGTTTCTTTTTCTGATACGTACAGTCTATATATCTTGATTCCTTTTGACCAACATTTTGAATGAAACGATAGTTTGAAAAGTATTTTCAACACTAGTCTAGTTATGAGATGTTTATTTAAGAAATATTTATCAGTCAGCAAAGTTAAAGTTGGGGGGAATTCAAATGTGATGACATGAATCTTGGCAAGCCTAAAATTCCACAAAACAATGTCGTAAATATAATATTCTTCCTGATATAAACGTATATATATTATCAAAATATTTCAGGTTTTAAGAATTAGAATCATTTTAAAGCTATATCAGAAAAATATTTAGTATTTAAAACTGCATGCCACCAGATCAGCCAAACTATTTCAAGAAAAACACAAAGTTATACTCCAAAACTTGATAAGAATGTACTAAGATTTTTAGAAAGTAAAAAAAAATCATGGTTCAAGTAATAATGAACATGTTATGTGCGATTAAAGACTGATTATGCAGTATTAATCACAATATTTCTATTGCGTTACTAACGCAATAAGAGCTAACTTTGCATATTCTGACATTTTGGCAATTTTCGAGGATTGTTAGTGCCGTTTTCAATGTTTAACTAACTTTCTTTGTCCAAAATATTTTATTTTTTATTTACATTTTCAAAATTTTCATCAAAATTAGCATGAATCTAGAGGCATGCTGCTTTAAGAACGACAAGCTATCACTGTGTAATCCCAGTTCATCTGGCAAAGTACAATAATTTATAACATAATATAAAAAAGTGAATTGCTCAATAATGGAAGGTCTGTAATATAAATAATGATTACATTGAAATTATTTATAATCAGACATAACAACAAATCACGAAAGAACTATTTATAAATGTTGTTGGCAAGTGTGAGATACATGATCCGATATTACAAATGAGCCGCGTCACGACAAAACCAACATAGTGCGTTTGCGACCAGCATGGATCCAGATGAGCCTGCGCATCCGCGCAGTATGATCAGGATCCATGCTGTTCGCTTACAAACCCTATAATAAGTAGAAAAACGGATAGCGAACAGCATGGATCCTGATCAGACTGCGGGGATGCGCAGTCTGGTCTGGATCCATGCTGATCGCAAACCCACTATGTTGGTTTTGTCGTGAGGCGGCTCATATTTTTTTCAAACAACTTTTTATAAGAATATCCATAATTGTTTATATCAATATTTGAAATATATGAGCCTATTGTAGACTTATCGTCTTTGATTTGAATTTATCTTTGTGATCACATTGAGCGACAGGTGAAACAACTGATGTATCTAACCATGCAAATATGTGCACGTAAGACACAGTTGGTCCATGAAGACTCTTATTTTGCTCCTCTGATCGACACTTACTGTAGACATGTATAAACTGAAATGAAACCTGAAAGGCTGGCGTTCCACATCTTTCTTAAAATATGATGGAACAATACCCAAATTCAAAATGAAAATTAAATGGAAAAAAGCTGCTTTGTAGAATTTTTATTTTCGGTTGCGATCCTAGTTATGAGTGCTGCACCGAAACACGGAATTTCTCTTTGTTTATGGTTTCCACTGAAAGATTGTTTTGTTAACGATGGAGCAGGGGATCGAGCCTGTGTACCCGAGATTATTAGTCTTACCCATTCCCGTCCAACCAGGCTTCTGTTCCATATATCACAATTACCGTCATTACATTGGCTAAGAAAGAAATCCATACAAATGAAGATGTCTGAAGTTACTCAAATATAGAGCCATTTTGAATACGGAACTTATTAAGCAGGAAAAGGACTAAAATTACCTGAATATGACTTTTCTCAGCTAAATCCCAGTCATCAAACACAAGCCGTACATGACCGTACGGATCGACATTTTGTATCATATATGTAAATGTTTCTCCGTTAAGGGCGTAACCAAAAGGAAAGTTTGGTGATGTTATAGAACCGGTTCCTGCACTGTATAGAGGCGCTGTTATTGTACCCGTTATCTTTTGGATTTTATCTGAAATAAAAAGAAAAAAACCTCATATTAACTTATTTCATATGAGCCAATTACCATGTAAGATAAAAAAAGTTTGGCCAGTCACATTTTGTAAAGACTTTAATTATCAATGTTGAAAGAATTGTCGAAGTAGCAAATATTTGCATTATTCTATAAAGTTACATTATTCTATTACATTACAAAAAATATAAAAAATAAAATAAAAATAAAGCTTATAATAAATAAATATGGCACTTCTTTGGCATAATATACAGATATATATGTATATATTTTTTATTTATCTGAGTCAATTCTATATAACATGATCACGTACCAATTACCTCGTACTGTATCTTAAATCTTTTGCCATCTAGACCTGTGCCGTTTGACATACAGTGCTGAATTACTACACCAGAAGACATTGTTTCATATTCAGATCCCTCCGCATCAGAAAAATAGTTCGTTTCGGTAGAGCGGTGATACGGCTGATCAACTTCAAATAACCGTAAATGGTCACAACTGGAAGTAAATTCAAAATCAGATTTAAAGGGTTGCGCTTTTGTGAAAAAATAATGTAATGTATGAAGTTGTCAAGTTATCTTTTTCAGAGAAAACGCTAGAATTTTTATGGAAACCAAAGCTCTGCCTCGGTACTGCAGTATCACTTGTCTGAGACAGTAATGCAGTACCAGTACCAGTTATAGCATAATTTGTGTGAGTATTGCAGCATCAGTAGGCTACCAGCGCTCGCAAAATGATAGATAAATTAACATTGTTTATGTCGATTTCTATTGGAGAAGTGTTTTTGAGATTTATACTACATGCCTGATATATTTTTTTTTGTAAAAACACATAATTTTTGACAAAGAATAACATGATGATGAAAGTGTAATTACAATCTGAAATAACAGATGTTTCCCCATGATATTAGACTGACTAATATATTATTATAATCCTCTAGATCAGTTGACACATCTAACCTGAAGTCAATGTGTTAATGATTAGTTTTTATTTTCGATAACACTTACCCTGTCACACAAACACTTTTGATCTGTTGTACAACCAACGTTTTTTGTGACTCACAGTCCGGAAAGCGGAGTTCCACGAACTTTAACCTTATCTTGCACGTGCTACATGCCTGAAGTTCCACGTTACACAAGTGTCCATGATACACTTCTGTTGTATAGTTGTTGGGGTATCCGGCGGAGGCAATATGGCCATAGTCTCCTTTCTCCACTTTAAGTGTAGCTCCGGTGGTCCTGTGGCCTCTCTTGCAATATGTTGTACCTGTAGCAAATAAAAATTCATTACAGTTAAAAAGCGGGAATCATAAAAAATGATATAATTTTGTTAAGACCACTGTACTGAACTCAAACAGTCCGTTAATATGTCAAATTCAAATTAGGGATTAGCATTAATGGAGATACTATCGTGTCATCACGAGAACCGGATTCTTTTACGCGTTCTTTTACAAAAGGGAAGGTGAACCAATCACAATACGACAATTTTAAAAATACAACAACAAAAACAACAACAATAATAATGATAACAACAACAAAGATAATAAACAAGAAAATCCCCCCCAAAAAAACGAATCCCCGTGTGGTAATAAGCACATAAAGATTTAATAAATTTAAAAGAAATGAATGTCAAACACAAGTAGAGCTTTGAACTATGATTCAGAGTCTCATTTTGATTAAGACTAGAATAAGAATCCCCGAAACCATCAGTTGGCTTTCCATAGAGATTTAGAGAAGATTTGCTTAGGTTTACAGGGCTTTAATACACATGTATCTTGTTAATAGATATTTAGTATAAATTACCTGTTAATATTTCTTTGCTTCATTTAATCCTGTCAAATTTAATGATTTACTAATGTTATAGAAAAGAAACATATATTTTAGAAAAGAGAATAACTCTACAAATACTGAAGATTGAGTTATGGTTATTGTACACTGTACTTCCTCTCATTGCGTTTGACCATTGTATGAAGTTGTATTGAATTCCAACTATTAGTTTTCAAGTAATACACTGGACATAAAAAGTAACAAAGGACAATTACTGAAATTAGTCCAAATAGAATTATGGTTCTTGTGCACTGCACTTCATCTCACTGCCCTTGATCACTGTACAAAGTTTCATTGAATTCCAACCATTAATTTTCAAGTTATGCACTGGGCAATACAAAGTAACAAAGAGCAAAATCTTTTAAATGAGCCAAGAAATAGTTATGGTTTCTGTGCTTCCTGTCAAGGTACAAAATAACAAACTACAAAATAAAACATAAAATAAATAAGTGTAAGCTATATAGTATACTTATAAGATTGACACTGGACAATTATTCATCTTTCAAGCCTATGACACTGGCTTCTATTTTCAATATCTGGAAGTTTTTTCTTTTTTCTTCTTTTTTTGGGGGATGGGAGTGGGGTTGGGTGTTGAGTTTTACGTTGCATCAACTCAATATTGGTCATATGGAGACTTTTCAGCTTCACTGGCGGAGGAAGACCTCAGGTGCCCCTCTGTGCATTATTTTAGGCAAAAGGGGCACCTTAGTAGCACAACCGACTTTCTTTCAGATAGCTGGTTAGCTTCCTCATATAAAAGATTCCAAAGTCCCTGTCGGGATTCTAACCCACAATTGCGGGGGACACGTTGTTAGAAGTCAGGGACCTTAACCAATCGGCTACGAACGCCGCACTAAAACATGTTTAAAAACAGACTGAGACACAAAGAAGACAAACTCTTTTTCGATTTAATTTTAAATTCAAAGGGTCTTTACAAACTTATACTGCTATTGTATTATTTTGTAATCTTTCTCCTTAGAAAGTCGCTGTTGAAGTGTAAGTTGTAAAATCTTTGAAATGTTGATAAATATCAATATTGCATTCCATGCTGTAATAATTGCTCTTTTCTCTGCGAGACGCGTGAACCACGCAGCATGGTGTTATTTATGTAAGAGATGTTGTTGAGAAAATAAGAAACAACTTTACTTAGTTCACTGATAAACTGTAAAGCAATATTGTACGCTATCGTATTATTAAAGTGGTTCACTCAACATGTTTATTTCAAAATGAAAGTAAATGCAAATGCAAACACTTAGATATTTCGTGTAAAAATTTGTTTCAGTGTTATGTATGTGAAGATGAGTAACTTGAAAATGCACTTGATTAAAGATATACTATGATCATCTTTGAGTGAAATATGTATTTCGCAGAAATATATTTAAATCTTTGAAATTCTCACTAAGTCTGTCTATTTTGAATAAATAAATGAGCCGCGTCACGACAAAACCAAAGTAATGCGTTTGCGACCAGTATGGATCCAGACCAGCCTGCGCATCCGCGCAGTCTGATCAGGATCCATGCTGTTCGCTATCAGTTTCTCTACTTGTAATAGGGTTTGTAAGCGAACAGCATGGATCCTGATCAGACTGTGCGAATGCGCAGGCTTGTCTGGATCCATGCTGGTCGCAAACGCATTACGTTGGTTTTGTCATGACGCGGCTCAAATATACAAACTGTGTAAGGAATGCTATATTTTCTATTAAAGGTTGGTCTTTTTTTTAGAAAAAAAATCCAGCTTTTTAATGTCACTATACTGTGTATATTCCTATTGTACCAAACTATGAGTTTAACATTTAAAAGAAGTCACAACTTGTTTATTTTATATTTACCAAGAGACTGTGAAGCAATTTGATATATTAAAAACATCAAGTTTGAGCAGAGTACATCTTTAAACATGTCTAAAAATGATTGAGATTTAAAAAAAAATCAATGTATTTCTTAAATTATGACCATAACAGTGGTATTATGCCCATCCTAGTGTAAACGCTCAGTGAAAAGGCATAATTATGTTCAATTTCATATTTGAATATGAAAAAAAAATTAAGTAACCAAAGAATTCTTTTTTCAAATATCGTGCAGAATGTATCGGTAACGCTCCGTGTGTCAGTCTTTTATAATTTAGGCAGGTTTTATATCGTATAATTATTAATAATTGGTCAGTGACAAAATGATATACAATCTTTGAAATGTATAACATGTATACTTGTATACAGCGAAGCAATGCGCATGTTATTTAAATACAAAATGTATTAAATGACTGATGTTACAATGTATTAAATATCATAATAATATTATTATCATACAATTTAGTTAGATAACATTTTTTGAAATTTCACCATCGTTTCTAAAATATTCCTACGATAACTTTTTAGATATCATAATAATAAAAAAACTCAACTTTTTTACAGTGAAAATAAATATTGTCCAGGCAAATCATTATCTATATATGTAAATATATTTTGAAAGTTTCATATATAAATTTCTATTTGATAGACCCGTATGTATATTCTACTACTGATAATTCAAAAAGATATAACATTCAACATGGTGCCGAATATCAATTATCACAGAAGAAAATATCAATATTAATCACTAAATTATATTTTGAGTACAGTTTAAATAATTAATATGCGATGCAAAATAATTTTATTCTAACCTCTAAACATCAAGCAATTCTGCTAAATGGTACATTAAAGAGGACGTTAAAAGGTGATCTTATCAGATTTAAGATTAATAAATGTTGCACGCGAGACGAAGGTGCGGGGGGGGGTAGTTTATGCAAGACCTTCTGTTTCTGCGTTTCTGCTATTCCTTGAACAGGTGTTCAATTTCAATGGCGTGTAACATTTCATTATCTTCAAAATACGAGAAGAAATTAAGTAAAGTTTAATTCCAGACATTCTCCGAAATTTATTTTTAAAAATGCAAAGTTTAAAAACCATACATGCAAACTTGTTTTGTTGTTCCAAAGAACAATAATGTTAATCGTTTATCAACAGCCTGTCCGAAAAAACAGCATTACCTTCCGAAGAGCGTCCAATAACCTACCGACTTGACAAATAGGTTCAATTTCAAACTATGTTACACACGTTTAAAACGACAAATGTCAGACGGAGTCTTATTTAAAAAAATACAATGACCTAGCTAAAAATAACTTTGAAACAATCTGAAAAATTGCAAAATAAAAACATAAACATACACATGTGACAGAATAACTTATAACTTTGTAATGTAAATAAATGATGAACTACGTTAGCTAAAAACTAGAGAATATATAAAATCTTATATCACTTAAAGACAAAAATTAGACTTTTATTTATAAGGATTATAGTTTTTCAACAGTTCCTCGTGAAAGATTTGTCAATGGTTTATGCTTAAGATTTATTTTACATACACTTGGTTTTAAGATAGATTGAATTTCAAATGGATCAAGAGAAATTATTTTACAGAACCAAATATTTAAATCCAACCCAAATTCAAACTAAAATTACGGGCATGAAATCAATTTATGAAGACTTTGTTATTCCGGATAACATCAGTACCGTCAGCGCTTTGATTTAAACATGATCGACATGAGATATACCTTTGACCATATTCACATAAACATATATGGCAAACGAATTCCATCCCTTTTTTGTTTTAAACCTATGCTTTTTCCAAACACTAGGCGTTAGAGAACATTTTATATACATTTTATATTACATGATATATACAAACATTTTTCACCTGATCTAAGCGTTTTCTGCTTATGATGTCTTTTAGCGTTTTTAGAGTTTTCTGAAAAAGAATAAAAGGAAACGAAAAGCCTTGATTTAAGTTTTATAGTAGTAGGTATGACCACCCTAGCTGTTGATCACGTCTGACAGTGGGATGGTTTTTATATAACATAAACTTGTTCATAGTTATTGGGTAGATTTGCCTATTTTTGGAAATCCCCGCACCTAACTTGACGATAGTATGCGGCATATTGCAACAGTCCTTTTGCACCGCGGTTCAATATCACATTTTAGTCTAGATACCTTGGTGCTATGCAATTATATTTATGTTGTTGGGCTAAGCGTGTTGAACGGTCATCCATCCTGCTGCAACAAACAACAAACTCTGCTGTTACAAAATATGGATACAATCTCAATTCGGAACAGATCGTGATAGTACCGCGCAGCGCACAGATCAATTACCTTAAACAATAGTCTTTTTGACCCTTCTGTTGCTACAGATTATTGACCAGTCAAGGACAAGTTTGTTCAAAACTATGAACAAATTTATATCACATCCATGCGACGATGCTGCCATGTTGTGATCATATACGTGGTTTTATAATTGTTATTTTGCACCATTGACTTTTTTAAGAACTGTTACATTTATTGGATATGTGAGTTAAATTTGTGCTAAATAAAAGGAATTTCATATTATGTATTCATTTTAAATTTCAGCATGTGT